CAGCTAATGCAGATGCCATTCAGCCAGGAGACCGTTGCCGGCCGTTGAGCTGTTGGTGAGCAGCAGCAGCAGATGCAGGTCACGGCTGCCGCCCATCAGCCCCTGTTGGGACTCTGCGAGCAGCCCTTGTTTGCACCACACACGGCGGGCTCCCAGAGAGGGGCCTTCTGCGGCCGCCTCCATGGGGGCTGGCTGCCCCGTCCCGATCCTTCCCGGTCGGGATAACTGCTAGGCCAAGCCTGCCCGCTCCCCAGCTGGAGGAAACGGGTGGGGGGTGTGTGTGTGCTGATCTAGGTAAGCTTTCTACAGAGAATTAGCTCCACAGCTGAGCAAGATTTACAGCAAACTGCCATGGAAGGCATTTTAGTGTGGATGGATTTTAGCAAGGGGTTCTGCTGATGTGCAGTTTGGTCGGATAGCTCTCGGTGTTTCGGCGGCAGGAGGGCTTCCATCAGAGGGCTGGGAAATGCTGCAAAGGCTGCATGCTCTGTTGCCACATGCAGTAAAGGCCCATCCAAGCTGCAGCAAGACAATGGACATTACCATGGCTCTCCTGGACACCATCTCCCAAAGGCATTGCAAGATCTGGGCAGGGGAGATGGCATGTCTCGGGCGCGCCGCAGCAGAGAACACCGCCGATGCATATAGCTGGGTATGGGTAAATGCTGCAGGAACTGGTGTTTTGGGGGAGATACTGCACATGCACACGTAGAGTCTGCAGGAAGAAAGTATCTGTACCTATTTTAAACTATCTCAGACTGAGAGAGGATGTTTACTAACTGAGTTAATTGGCAAGCTGTACAGCCTGTATGGCTTTGAAGTCTGCAGGCTGAGCCCACAGCTGGCTTCCTGCTAACGAGCATGGCGCCGAGGCAGGAGGGCCGGGACACGTCTGCCGGGTGAGCCGAGCCGGCAGTAGCAAAGGAGCTTGACCCCATGTTCACGCAGCCACCTCCTGCGCCCCGGGCAGACCCTGGCGAGCAGTGCCTGGAGGCTGAGCCAGCGCTGACCACCGGGCCCCTACCCTGCAACGCAGCCAGCAGCCAAACGGCAGCTCTGTCCCCGCAGCCTGGGGGCTCAGCACAGCCCTGGCCAAGGTGGTCAGTCCCAAAGCCGTGCTTGTTTCCGTAAGCAATGAGGTGACACGAGTGTATCCCTGTTCGTGGCACAAGGTGCACCCAGAAACCTTGGATAAATAGCACAAAAAGCAGCTCGTCCCCCCTGCTGTGCTGGCTGTGTCCAACTGCACCTGAGGGTGAAAGGCAACAAGGACCGGGGGAGCCTGGCACTGCCTTTCCCAGTGGTTTGACCGTGCCTTGCAGGTGATGGTGGTAGCAGCAGCCCAGGAGACGTCCTTCCTCCAACACCACCAGCAGCCCCTGCTGCAGTTCCGTGTGCCCAGGAGCAGATCCCCCATCCCACCTCACCAGCCAGTGAAATGTCCGAACTCACCAGCTAAACACACCTTCGGCTTTAATAAAATACCTCTTGTTTACAGACACACCCATATGTATACGTGTATATAGATACTCATTATATATGTATACACATGTGCATATGTGTACCCCATGCTGCTTCACACAGCAGCGAACACTGAACACCTCAGGGCTAGGGGGGGCTCCCTCCCGCAAGCCGGTGCTTTATCTCCGAATCACAGTATCTGCCCATTCCTGTAGCAGAGGTGCCTCACCAGCAGACCCCAAGCACCCATGGGTGAGCACCCTGCTCCCGGTGGTGCAGTCCCCAGCCCTGCAGCATGGAGGTGGCACGTCCCCATGAGCTGCAGGGGAGCGCAGGGTCTTCCCCCCACTGGGGGGGATCCCAGGCTGATGACGCCCACCCGTGGGTGCGGGAAGGGCAGCAGGAGAGCCCTAGGAGCGTGGGGCTCGCTGTGCCATCAG